ATCCCCACGCTAATTAAAAAAAAAAGTATTGTGGAGTTATGGTAAGTTAAACATCGTAATTATAACCACACGCACAATATAAATATAAAAATAAACAATATTTATGTTCACCTAATCAGTGTTTCCACTTTCTTTTGTATTATTCCAAATATATAAAAAGTTTTCTGGTTTTAATCTTAAAGTATTGTAGAGTTATATAATGGTTTATAGACTTTAGAGAATCTTGAAAGAAAGTATAATTATCAACAATCAAATATTTTCCCTTTCATAGCAATTGCAGTAAAACGCAAATATTGACTTCACAAAAACGCGTCTTACCATAGGAATCGAGGAATTGCATTGTGGAGATTGGAAAAGTTTTGGGAAGGTGTGAAAGAGTGTGAGCAAGCCATAAGTTTAGATCCAGATGTTGTAAAAGTTCATGAAAGTTTAGCCTAGATGCTTCTTAGGTAAACTCATGATTTTGTTTTTCTTGATAAATATAAAGTATAAATCTTAATTCATTTGAATCTTTTAATTTGGTTGCAGATTTGGGTCAGGTTGATAATGCGAGGAAGCATTTTGTGAAGGAACCATCAGATGACAAGCTTTCGGCGATGTTTAAAAATGTAGAAACACATTTGAAAAAATGCGCATATGCAAGAAGACGCGATAAATGGAACAATATTTTCAATGAAGAGGCTGACAATGTACTACCAGTTCTCCCCAAAATAGAACCATTCCCAGCTTCTTACTCACAGACTCAGTTTTTCGATATGATAGGTGAAGCTTACATATTTTTTTTTAAATCCCAAAGTACTTTGCGCTAGAAAGGTGAGATTTTTTTGACCTAATTTATATGTTTAATTTTCTGTTATCAAAGAGTTACATGTTTCAGGTTTGATGATGTAGCTGAAGCCATAGAAAAAATTTCAAAGTTTGATCCACGTAACAGAGAAAGTTGGGCCCATTAGAAATAACCTTGTTTATTGGATCCATATATAAAACTACAAAAAAATCTTTTATACATTATTTGAGAAGTTATTTTTCCAAAAAACATTAGGTATCTTCTGAAGAATTATTCTCCCAAACTTTATTGTGACTTGTTATTTTCTAAAATGTGACATGACAAAATTGATAAAACATTATCCAACCAATTTAGCATGCTTTCCTAGCTAAGTTTGGTCTTTCGGTTTTTAGGATTTGTCTTTTAGTCTTGAGGTTCTAGGTATGGTTCATCTCTTGTATCCTATCTTCTTATTCTAACCTTGTATTTCAATCATGTATTACATCTTTGTATTCCAACTGATGATCAATATAATATTTCAGATAAAAAAAAATTAAAAAAATGAGCCTCTTCATTTTGGGGGCCAAAGCTAATGTTTCACTGGGCTCTGTTCAGGATCGACCTTGGTTTCAAGCTCAAGTTGCATTGAGCTTTTCTTGCTATGATATTGAAGATGTTTCTTTGTCTTGATTGAGTTTATATTTATAAGCTGCATTAGCCCGAGCTAGAGAGTTATTTTTTAAACTTGTCTTCTTTTTACCGTAAGATATTTTTTCCATATTTAACTTCATGTATATTTCAATGGCTGTGTTAGATTGCTTCTTTTGATGTTGATGCATATGAAGATGTTGATTCTGTATGGCTCG